AGTAAATACAATTAAGAGAAAAAAATTTCAATCACAGATCTATATGTTCATATCTTCTAATGTAAAGTTTATTTATACAGCCATTTGCATTTTAATAGGACGCTCTGGTAAATAATTTTCAAGTTTGAAATCATCAACATGGAAATCATCAATTGAGTCTCGTTTATTAACAATTTTTAATGTTGGAAATGATTGTGGTTCTCGTTGAATTTGTTCAAGTAATGGTTGAACATGATTAAGATAAACATGTGCATCACCCATTGTATGAATAAAATCACCTGGTGTTAAATTACAGACATGAGCAATCATATAAGTAAGTAAAGAATAAGATGCGATATTAAATGGAACACCTAAACCAAGATCACATGAACGTTGATACATAAGACAAGACAATTCTTTAGAAGGTGATACATTAAATTGACACAATACATGACATGGTGGTAAAGCCATTTCAGGTATTTGACTTACATTCCATGCACATAAGACAAGACGACGTGAATCTGGATCGGTTTTAATCAAATGAATTAGTTGAGCAAGCTGATCAATACCTTGACCTGTGTAATCAGTTTTACAATCAATATATTTTGCACCATAATGACGCCATTGAAAACCTATAGAATGTAATTATAATTAGATAAACGATAATATGCATTTATATCAGAATAATTAATATTATTATGAGAAGAAAATTTTATAGAAACCTATTTATTACAAAAACAAAACAAACTTCAATAAATTAAAGCTTACGTAAATATTAGTGCTAAGTATACTTCATATGGTTTTAATTTACTGAAGTAGGATAACAAGAAACGACTAAGACAATGATCGTATCAAATTATGGTAAATATTGGTACATTTTCCACAAGAACAGATGAAAGTTGTTTTTTTATTGATGAAAGATCTCAACTGATTCATGTCGTTTTCAATGATATTTTGTTCATATGTTGATGACATTACTCCAGGAAAAATTTTCGAAGGCTTTATGCATGTGAAGCGTTCTTTGAAGATTATGAGTATTTTACTGATTTTTATTCACCTACTGAAAAGTATTTCCATACATATCTAATAATTGAATATCAATCGGAAATTTTGTCCGTCTACGGTTTCCTTGATCACTAGAACACTCTAACACTTTCAGTTCCAAAAAACGTTTTCTAGTCGTGCTATTCAATTGTCGAGAAACCTAAAGTTTGTGCACTTTAGAACTACATTATCAGACAACTTTTATAACTTAAATATCTCGAGAATAATAACTATTTTCTTTACTAACCGAACTTTTAGAGCGTTTCTGTAACCTGGAAAAAACTATATATGGGAAAAATTGAAGATTAAACTTCTATTGTTATATTTTTATATAATTATGATTGAAAACAGCATGAATTAGTTGAGGATTTTCTTTCAATAGTGGTTAATTTACAGAGAATGAATAGAAATAAGAAGTGATCAATGCAAATAAAACCAGAATTCGCAAGTGGAGGTCATATTATTATTACATCTCAATGGAAAGAATAATGTTCTTTGTATCAGTAATAAGAATTTTAAACTAATTAGCAAAATCGTTCAACTGATTAATGAATTTCAAATCGGGACTATCTTCATTAGATAGCTTCTAATGAACTATGAATACTTTGTGAAGTTCGGATTCTTAACTTATTCCTACGAAGATAATGCATTTTTACGATGTTTTTATATCGATGTTGTGGTTCCGCTTAGGCACGCCGGGCAAAACACATTTTCGAATTTCAACTTGAAAATTTGTATATAGACAGATCTTAACTAAAATAATTTATTTTTAAAGTTCAGGCTCTTTTGAATTGTTTCAATGTGGAAATAAGAACATTAAAAGAACTGATTCATATCAGAGATGTAAAAGACACACTTTTACCATAGCAATGTCTAAGAATAGGAATTACGAAAATATCTGAAATTATCACAATAAATTACTCTTGATGCAAAATTTCAAGTCAAAATTTAATAATGAATTTATTTGAGATAAAACATGATATTGCCTTTAAAAAAATACTAAAAAGATGCAGTATCTCTACAGCAATAAATTAACGATCCCCAATATTTTTACAGTATTCATATCTTATTATGATCAATATCATGCACATAATATCGAATCACAACTGATTAATCATTTAGGCGATTTTGCTTATATATATTTTGTTAATTGATAGATGTTTTGGATGAAGAATTTTAATAGGTTAGTCATAAAAATCTCGAACTATTTTCTAAAGATATTTTTTTTTAATAGAAAATAGTTCTCTTTCAAGCTTGTCAACGTCCTATACCCTCAGATTAAATTAATATAACATTATAAATCATTCTACGATTAGATTTTGACAGAAATAAACGATTGTCTCATGAATTTATCATAAAAAAAATGCTTGTGTAAAACCTCCGACACATTGACAATCTTTGTCAGACTCCATTGAGGCATTTTATTTTTTATTTTGATAATTTCTCAAACGCACGTAATAACCTTATTCATGTTTAATGACAATAATATTGTCTTATTGAAGAATGTCAAGTATTTAGGTCACGCCAACAGATAAATTCGAATATATATTTTTACAATTAATAATCTATGAGTATTTAATTGTCGATACATACCATAGACTGGTCCTAGATCTCCTTCTTGACGTTGAGTAAAACCAAGTTTATCAAGAAATTCTCTTTTACCATTATCATTCCATATTTTAACATTTTTTTCGTTAAGTATATTGGCATCCGTTTTTCCACTAATGATCCATAAAAGTTCTTCAACAACTCCACGCCAAAATACACGTTTTGTTGTCAATAATGGAAAACGTCCATTTCGTAAATTAAATCGCATATTTGTTGGACCAAATATAGAAAGTGTACCGATACCTGTTCGATCACTTTTTTTGACACCTTTTTCAATAATCTCTTTAACTAAATTTAGATATTGCTTTTCTTCATAATTTATATTATCATGATCATGATCAGTAACAGATCCTTTTTGTTCATGTTTCTCAGTAGCCATCTACAATCATTAAAACAAAAACAAGTTTATTCAAAATTAATAAACTTAATCGAGGTTAATGATAAAAAACATTGTCACGTAATAGCTGATATTTTTCAGAATAAAAAAAAAAAAATGACATCATGAATAATACATAAGACAGGTTGAAGAAATGCTTTATTAATAGAAATGATTATTAAATAGTCCAAGTTTGAGAAATAACAGATGGAAAAAGTCATTTCAAACATGTTTTTATTCACAAAAGATATCAAAGCAAAGTATTGAATTTCTTTTATCTATTTCTACACATTATTTTATTAATCTTAATTTGAAAGATTTCTTGATGGTATTTCTAAAATGTCATCTAAATTTTTTATTTTATTGCAAGATCAATTATCTAAATTTATTATTTAGACAGAAAAAGAAATTATTTCAATAAAAATATGCGCTGTTATTTTCATTCTTTTCTTCTTGACTATCATAAGTTTTCAAGTACTTCGATTAAAAAAGTTCTTTCATGGAAATTATTAAGAGGAAAAGCTTTTATATGAGTTCTTTTTTCTCATCAGTATTAATTATGAATAATTTTTATTTATATTTTTTTGAACTATTCTCACTTGAAAACATGGCTAATAACAATTTTTTTTACCAAATCATGTGGTACCAAAAAATAAATACAAATATGTCTATAATAATAGGAAAAAAAAATAAAAATTGCTGATTTTGTTTTTCAAAAATTAGATGATCAGTTTTTTTTGTCAATATTTGATGTACATGTCAAACAGAGCGACAATGTAAATATAGTTTGTTTTTTCTTTCTTTGAATCAGTACAAAAAAAAAATGAAATAATACTTAAAATATGAATCGAAAAGGTCAAACAAAAGGTGTCTGTATTTCGTGTAGTAATACAAAGAAACAATGATAATCTATTTTATACTTTTCTTTATAGATTCGAATTTAATAATGCATGCATACATAATTAATACTATCTATATATAGATATATCTGATATATACATATGAGTTTATTCTTTGTTTTCCTTATTTTTCTCTTTTGCGCACTTTCTAGTCATGTTTTCTTCTCTTTGTCGTTAGACAAAGTTTTTTTTTTTCTACAAGATATATAGATGTTTGCATATTCCATACTTATTGACCTAAATGATAGTGTGTTTTGTGTCTGTCTTTTTTGTGTTAAATGACATCCATAGGAGTTCGAATATGCCTTTCTTTTTCTTCTTGTTGCTTGCATGGTTGCACACAATCCATTCTTTTTCGTATCCGTCCGCTCTGTTTCTTCTTTTTCTTTTTCTCCAGTTCTTTTTCATTCTTTCGGTTTCTTTCGCTATTACACGCATTTCTTTCCTTTTACTCTCAGCCAGTCAGCCAACAAGTGAGTCTATTCGTTGTGAAAAGAAAAAATATCAGTCTGTGCGCTCATACCATTCAGTTTCATGAGATGAAGGAGTCGAAGAGGAAAAAAGGGATGAAGAGTCGAATAAGAAAAACGCACTGCTGTTGTTATTGTAACTAACACTTTACCTTCTCGTTTAAAAGTTTATGGGTGTGTTTATTTCTATATACTTGTCTAACTCAGCGTTATGAGAAAGCAAACACTTTTTATCAGTTTTTATTTTTAATATCAAGTGTGCGAATGCATATGTTATCGATATCAGACTACACGTCTTCATAAGAGTGCAAATCTCCACTAATAATATCTGTTTGTTCATTAGTCTATTGATATTTATAAATAGATATGAACATAGGTTTCTTCGTTTAATATTAACTTTTATTTTGTAAAAGAAATTATATTACTTTCTCTTGAATAAAAATAAATGAAGGAAAAATAGAAAGTACTTAAAACAAAAAAGGAAGTAAATGCTTCAATGCGAAAAGCGCATATCTATTGTAAGACTTTACGATCTGAGAGGAAAAATAGATGAAAGTTTTAATCAAATAAAACTGTGTCTATATTTTTCTTTTCTTTTCAGATCATCTTAGCTTATACAAAAGTATGTACTTGTCAAGTATGGATGAAGGAAACAGTGTTGATATTGACGATAACTCACAAACACGACAAGGAACAACACCGCCTGTTACTTCTAATGTATGTAACATTTAATTTTACTTTTTTCTGTCATTCTATTCTTATTAATATCAATCGTATAGAAAAAAAATGATGCTTACATATATTTTTCATTTGATTTTCTACTTGATTGCTTTATTAGCCGTCACAATCTTCGTCACCATCTTGTCCTACTTTACTTGTCATAGACGATAATTCATATTCTAATGATATATCGCTAAATACAACTGACATTCCAACAGATTCTGCGCTTTCTCCCGCTCAAATAAATAATGTTCAAGGAACATCATCTTCTCCGTTGCCTACCATAGGTAAATTATTGTTAACTAAAGCAAAAAAATAGATGTTTTACAAGACAACATCTATTAAATGTACATATATTTAGAGCATTCAGAAGATACACCTGCACAACAACGTCGTCGAACTTCATCTGTAGCAAAACTCCTTGGTGGTCAACCATTAAATAATCAACAATATGAAGGTTAACTATTTATTTACAATCAAAGTTCTTTCATTTTTATTTTTTGATTTCTTATAGAAATTAACCAACAAATCCTTGATGATCAATCAACTCAAAGTGTAACTAATAATAATGATAATGGATCAGAGACGGGAATACAACGTTCACGCAGTTCTATTACAAGAACTTTACTAATGAATACAGGTAAATAAAATTATTATACATGTATATTATCATTTTCTTTGTTTTTCCTTTATTTCTTCATCTTAAGAACGAAGTGATAATACATCGAAGATGACAATAACAAAAGCACGACCATCATCACCAGAATATTCAAAAGACTTTGAATATTTAATACGTCGAGAACTTGATGTTGAACATGCACCATCAACACTTACTAGAAATAGTAAGTTTATATCTTCTTACAATAAAACACAATCATTTGTTTTACGTGTAATAGGTTCGACACCTAGCATATTTCAGAATCTCTCTAGTGCTCGTAATACACCTAATAATGCTCAAGCATTGTTACAATCAAAATTAAAACGAAAAAGGTAAACTAAACAAAAGTTAAAAATCTATTTATTTTGAATTTCTTTTTTTGAAATACTTTAAAGAGTCACTCCGAAACAACCAGTGTCAACACCACCACCACTGAATAAATCATCAAATAGTGCTCCATTTACTATACGTGATCCATTTGAACTTGATTGTTCAGCATCATCGTTAAATTCAACATCAAGTCATCGTCCTCATCATCATCAAAATGATTTATATCGTTTCGATACATCACATCATCATCATTCTCATCATCAAAATCAACAACAACAACAACAACAACAACAACAACAACAACAACAACAACAACAATATTCATCACCAATAAACAGTTCAACAACTAATTCAGCTCCATTTACTTATCATAAATTAAATCTAAATTCACCAGCCTATGCACAATTTAATATTCATCATAATCACTTATCTACAACACCTTGTTCATCTTCATCTTCCTCATCATCATCACCATCATGCAATTGTTGTCGTTATCCTGTGACAGCTGAACTAGCATTACCGACTCCTGTTTCACCTTTATCACTTAATGCATCATCGCCTTCTATTGTACCACATCAAACAATTGCGACGTCATCACGTAAAACTAAAGTAAATATTGCGAGAAGAAAGAAGAAAGAAAAATATGTTGTTATCGAAATCGTTTTTAGCTCGAAAAAGGGAAAGTAGGACAAAACTGATTTGTACTGTCATGAAAAAAAAAGCAACAACGAAAAAGTTGTCCCTTTAGATATATATATTATTAGAAAAAAATTAATAAAGAATTCTTCGCAATAATCTACGACGGATAAAAACAAATGTTAAAAGTTTCTTTCCTAGTTAATGTCCTCTAAAGTACATTTGAGAGACATGGACATAAAAAAGATAACAATTTTGAAAAAAAGCTATTTGATATGACAGTAAATTAAAAAGAATTTATATTTTGCTTTTCCTTCAGCGTATAAATCGAGGATCTTGACAATTAACCTGTTTAAAATAAAAATCCATAAAGTAAATTGTTATTCCTAAATTTATAATGATGTTTTGTATTATTTTCAATTTTAAAAATGGTTCTTAGCTAAAATAAAGTAGCAAAAGTTTTTTAATATATATTAGTTTGACTGAGTACTTTTCTTATTAAAATATATTCCTGGCTAGTTATAGTATGACATAAATATGTTTTTATTTTATTATTATTTATTGAAAACATGTAACATATTAAGATCATTTTATCTATTGTACTTAAAAGGATTATTTCTCGATGTGTTCTATCGATAGCGATTCTGATATTTTTATTAAATAATATACTACCATCGACAAACTACTTATGAATCATATTTTTGATGAGCACGTGCATGAGTAGCCAACTGCAAAAATCACATGATTCTCAGAAGATTGTTTCGTCTATAGAACTTTACAGAGGTCGTTATGCTGATCATTTTGGTAAAATAATCTTCAAATTGAATCAATAAATCATGGTACTTGGACTAAAATACTTAAAAACTTTGGCTATTCCTGACTGTTATTGAGCGATAGTCGATGTTTTCAAGTATTTTGGTCCTGGCACTATGATTTATTGAGTATATTTGAATATTTGTATTTATCAAAACGATTGATGCATTTCATTCCACACACGAAAGTATTTTCTGAAAACCTTGTGGTTTTTTACAGTTGACTATCCATGGAAGTATCGATTAAAAATACAATTCACAAGCATAATATCTTTGTTACATATCAAAACAGGCTTATTTTAATCTGTATGTGATCATGTTAATCTAACACATTGAACTAGAACTAATATCATTTGTTTAATTCGAACCATTGTATGTATTGTACTGTTAATAAAATTTCATGGAAAGGAAAATCAGCGTCGTCAGATGAGAATATTATTTATGAAAATAAAACAGGCAAATTTTGTAGAAAAATATTTGTGACATTCCTAATAAAATCCATTCATTGGACATTAAGTGCAAGAAAAAAAAACATATTTTTGATTGATTCAAAACAAAAATTAGGCTATGACATTTGCTGCTAATAACTTGTTTTCTGTTTGTTTATTTTAAGGCGACAAATAATCGACCAGATATATATGAAATTCCAATGCAACGATCACTTTCTACCATATCTAATCCATCGAATGCCTCGTTATCGTCACCACCATTATCATCTGGTCACAGTGTACCATTAAAAAAACGTTTACTTCATGCCTATAAAAATGAACAACGTCCTTCATCATCTCTGTGATTACTCCTTGTTTTTGTTCTTCCTTTTTAACTACAGGAAAAACATAAATCTCATTATCATACCAAACAGAAAAAAAAAAGTATTTTCATATATATTTTTCTTTATCTTCGTTTTTGTTGAATGTATAAAAGTTATTTGATGTCATATGTCCATAACATAGACCACAGAACACAAAAAAAAACTATTATTTATATCACAAATTATTAACAAATTTTGCGTAGATTTCATCAATAGTCACCGTTGACTGATTAAGTTTAAGAATGAATTCTCGTAATGGTAAACATTTAATAATATTATTTTGATTGTTATCAAATTTTTGCATTAATAATTCAATTTTATTTGAATGCATTTCAATTATTGATTTGTGTAGATGAGTCAAACGGGATTTTGAATAAAACTGTTGGAGAAACTTTTGAGTGTGAATTGGTTGTTTTTGTAACCATTGAATATAGTTCGTTACACGAGAAGAATTTGTCTAAAAAAAAAAGCAAGAAAAAAATGAATTCTGAATTTTTTAGAAACCTAAAAAAAAAAGAAAATATTTTAATAGATATTTTTCTTTGATGCTCTGCTGAAAAATGCTAATTCTGTTATTTTTGTCATTATGATTAATTACGTCGGTTATTTCACATTGGTTTCATAGTTCACTGAATATTGTAATGTGTGATTCATTCTTACATCAATTTTCAAGTACTTTATCAGAGATTTAGAAACAACTCATAAAAACGATCGCAAACATATATATAATAAAACATATGAAAATAATTAAAAGAAACTTTTAATGCCTCTGTGACTATTGAAGATTAGTGTGTATAAAAATAATATATTCGTTTTCATTTGATACGAATGATTATTATTGCTAACAGTTACTTTTTGATTTGTTTGTTTTGTCTTTTCAGTCGATTGTACTTTAGTTAATTGCGAATAACGTTGTCGACATTGAACAGCTGATCGATTAGGTAGATGACTAGCAGCTAATGTTGACCAACAAATTGATGAAGTTTGATTGGCATGTTGAAGTAAAATAGCATCCTCGTCTGGTGTAAATGAATTTTTTTGTATATCAGGATTAAGATATGTCCATACATGAGTTATTTCACGTAAACATCGATCACCAAGTAGATAAGCAGCATAAGAAACACAAAAACGATAATCTTTTATTACTGAACAACGATATTTGTACATGGATAAAAGAAGATCTTTTTCAGTTTGTGTAAAACGTCTAGAACATGAAAAAAAAAGAAGTAGTGCATTTTTATGTCTACGAACAAAATTTTAAAATGAAATGGTCATTTCTTTTTGCTTCTATGTCTTTTCGAAGATTCTTATCAAGTGTTCTTACAGATTAACAAATAAAAATACATATACATTTGTGTCACTATAGAAAATGATGAATGTCAATCTAGTTTAAACACAAAATTTTCAAGTTTGCAAACTACCATGTGTTATTTTGATGAACTGCTTTTTTCACACTCATAAGAAATGTTAAGATGAGTAGACCTATAATTATATACATGTGAATAGTCAATATATTGAAAAATAGTATGGTATTGCTAAAGTTTTAAGAACATGTCTATAGAAAATTGACTCTTTAAAAGAGTGAATATTTTTTTTTTGTTTTTAATTATATTAATAAAAATTAGACTTGCTATATATTTGAAATATTAATTCAAATCTTTAATTACGTTATATCGCACATAACCTAGCAAAGTTTTAAGAAACGCATTTTTAGTTTCATCACAAGATTCTTGGAGAATATAAGACGAGAAGCTGAATAATATTTAATCAATTCTATCACTGTTGATGCTTTTTATTTGAATGCTTAAGATTATATTTAAAGAAAAAAGAAAGTTCAAGGCTGAATGATTAATTTAGATTATGTGATGAAGAACATCTTTTAAATTAAATTTTGACATTTTCTCAAAACGTACTTTCACTTTAGAACTCACACTGATATGTCTGCTAATAATCTATAATTGTGTTATTTTTTATGCATTCTTATGTGTCAATTATCAAATAACGCATATTCCTTGGTTTTTATGCACACTAATTATAATTTTCTTGAAACCAGAAGAAAGCAAAATGTTTTTTTAAACTTTAAAATCTTAAGAAGATTCTTGAGATAAAATGACATTTACTTGAGTCAGTATATTTAATTAATGCTGCTCTGATGAGTCATAAGAATCACTGATAAATAGACTACCGTTAACAAGAGAATTTAATTTAATAAATTCTTATTATCGACATATTCATTCATTATTGAATAATTCTAAAGTAATTTTAGCTCCGTTGATGTTTGTTTTTTTTTAAGAAAAGTCTTTTGATCATAAAATGCATTCGTGTGAGATGGGTAGTATAGAATTAGTGTTTATGAGTAATACATGATGCAATTGTAGCAGATATTATACTTATCTTCAGAAGCTAATTGATCGATAAGATAAAGTTAAATAATAATAATAGTAATAATAATTCCATTTTATGAAAATAATTCCATAAACTCAGAACATTTATAAAGTAGGATTTGAGTATGTCTACTCTTCATCTACCCAAAATCCATACTTTTCTGTCAGTACGATGTATTCTATATTGTGTAAATGTTATCTCCTTTTTTTGTAAAAGTACAACTGTTATTATATTCATAATAAATTTGATGATGGAAAATATTCGTACTCTTTTTTTTTTCGTCATGCATCTATTTCTATCAGAGGCTTGCACAGGACAAAAAAGACAATGTTGTCTTGTGTCTTCCTTTGTTTATAATTATATTTTCCTCTCTGTGTTATTTTTGTTATCAAGTACTTTTCATTACTGTATTTTTTGTATTAGTAGTATCTACTATAGGTTAAGATAATGTTGATAAAATCTCACCGATTCATATGTTTTTAAATTTATTTCCTGTGCTGAATGTGTCATTAACCAGTTCCGGCCGACAACTAGAAGTCAGGTAGTAAACAAATATCCTTCTGCATATTTTTTTATTCTCCTATGACGATGATCACAAAAATGCATTTATTGAGACAAAAAAGTGCTAAAGAATCTAATGGCTTGACGTTGCCATTTGTCAATATTCAGCTATTATGAATGAAAATTTTTCGCAATTCAATTTTCGTTTTTAGATATTAAAGTGCGGTGTTTTACGTTTTTTTAATGTATTCATAAAGTCAATTAAAAAAAGGACACGAATATGTAAAGAATGTTTCTGCTCTTTCCAGATTTATATCAACTTTTTTTCTGACAATATTTAAGTATGTAAGTCTTGTAGCCTTGGTCAAGTCGTGCAGAAACTGATATTTGATTTTGATTCGACTCCGAAGCTAGCTGCCACAACGTAGGCTCAAAGCTCGATTTTATCGAAAACTAGTCTCGAAACCTTACTGTTTGATTCTTTGTGAATGTTCAATTGGAAATTTCGATGTTTAACTATAGGATAGAGGCGTGTCGATGTAGATGAACAGAAGATTCATATCGATATCCACACCTGAATCCGACGTTGTGTTTAAGTAACCATAAATATAAGACTCATTTTTATTATAATGTTTTTGGATTTTAAAAGAGAATATATAAATTTTACAGGCAGTTCAATTTTATTATAAAGTTCCATTTTTTTCAAATTCCTCTAAACAATGAGTTCTAAAGATTTAGTTCTGAAAGTTATTTTAAATAGACAATATTCTACGGTCTATCTACTGTTTAAATCGAAATTTTTAATGAACATTCATGAAGAATAAAACAGGCTGATGTTGAGGCCAATTTTTATTAAAATTGGCTTTTGAGCCTGCTCTAGTGGGGTTAGCCCATGAGTCGAATGAAAACCGAACTATCAGTTTTTGAACAACTTGACATGGGCTAAAATACTAGCAGCATACTTAAATCTTGTCAGAAAAAAAAGTCAACGTAAAGCTGAAAGAAGCTACATGGAAGTTCCCATATCCTTAATCGGAATATAGAAAGTCTCTTCTCGTTAACGGGGAGAGGGATATTACTTTCGCAGTAATAGATATATTCCTATGAGAATATGTCGGTATTTTAATTTTGACTTCTGTAGACAGAAATATCTTATCGGAAAACTTTAATGAATATGTGATCAAGCTGTAACAAACAAGATATTTAAATCCTTTGAATTGCTGATGAACTATTCATGTTTTTTCTGTTGTTTAGATTTTTGGAATACCAATATGCATGTATTTTTTGTAATTTATATACTATTTAATTTATGAAGAAAACAACCTGATTAACTGTTTTTATATGAAAATAAGAGAACAGAATAGTAAATCTCAAATCTTTGGAAAACTTCATCTATGTTTAATATTGATCAAAACTTCTATTTTTTTCTGTACCTTTTTGAATATAGTTTATTCTTTTTTGACATATATCGTTGTGCACACATGTATGCTGATTTTTTATTTTTCTGAATAATAAAACAATTCCATGTATAATTAGTAATCATTTTTTTAAAATATTTTTTTACTTGAAATATTTCATGTTGTGAAATTTCTATCCATTTTCCATAACCATATTGTTCAACTAATTGATCTAAAAGTTTATCTTCATCATCTGACCATGAAATATTTAATCCATATTGACATCGATGTTTCCACATACGTTTTAATGAAGATTCATCAAAATATTTAAAACCACCTATACTTCTCATTTTTGTTCCAACTAATTTCCAATCAACCTGTTCAATTAAAATTTCTTTTGAATTTCCACTTAATTCATATAATCTTTCAATATCAATTGATTTTTCCATAAATTTTAATTCATATAATTTATTTTTTAAATCATTTTTATTTTGTTCATTTTTACTTCCACGTTCTTCTTCATTTTGTAATTCAAGTTCAATCCAATGTAAAACTATTGAATACATATTTTCTGTAACAATTGGAATAAGTATTCGAAGAAATTTTTCATTTAAAAATTGTTCATGTCGCCATTGAGATATTGTTGTTGATGTTGGTGTTAAGGAACGGTTTGGAAAAACTGTTTCATCAAAATCATCT